CAACTGCAAGACTTCAAGATGCTGTAGGTTCATACTGCCGTAGATCGGAACATAAATTAATAATTTTTAATCTGGAGGTAGCCGTGGTTAACTATAACATTGGGACGTCATACACCTCAGTCCCTCCCCGAGACCATGGGTGCTGTAAAGGGTTCGAAACGTCGGGAATATAAAATAAGTTAATATACGCGATAAAATCCGTAAAATTAGTTTTATTCCAATATTTCTACTTCATTAGTGGTGAAGCTACCATCAGGCTTCTTAAGAAGCCTGATCTGACTAGGTATAGCTTTCGATAACATTTTGTACAGTCTTGCACTGTGAGGCAAAAACTCAACTTCCTCGCATAGCTTCCTCCACGATTCTCTCTTAGGTTTCCTATTTTAATTAGGTAATATATTCGATTAGGGCTGCACTATAAATATCCCACTCTTTAGTTTTTTTGGTCCTATTGAAGAGAGTTCTGCTCTTTTTCCTAAGCTCCTTCAACTTAATGTTCCACCAGGAAACATTTCGTATTGAGATCTTGGTTTTGACAGGACAACTACCCTCGAAGCCTTCACGGCTACCTACGGTTACAGTCTCCGTCGCTAACTCTAGTCCTTCAATCGTTTTGATGTTTTAAGGAAACGTTTCCAAATTCCTCCTTAGCCTATCACTATAGACATCCCAGGAGGTCTTGGATCTCTCAAGGCAACAGTTTCATAAGTTGTAGTAAATCACAAACTAAAAGTGTTTGTGGTCAGACATCGAGTTTTCGCTACTAACATAACAGTCAGTTAACCGCCTGGAAATGAATTTAGGAGCAAAGTTTATATCTAACGCTTCTTGCCTAGCACGCGGTACGAAGGTTTGATGTACACCATAAGTTTAGACTTACGAGACGAATGGAGATGAGAAAATCATAAATTAACTCACCTCTTTCATTGATGTTAGCGATTCCTCAGGCTGTGTGGTGAGTATTATCATAGCAACCGACTACAAGTTCGGCGTTGTGTTTTCGACTTTGCGTACTCCGCCACTCGCCCTAACTCGATGGCAGGATCTGAGCTCTCCGGGAAGATAGGCTGAGCAAATGTTTACTCTGGCCCCTTGTTCATCTCTTGAGATGTATGAAGGCTGTAATTAGGTCGTCGTTGCAGTACTCTGGAACAGCTAAAAGTTCAATGTTCTGCCTTTAGTATTGACTAAGATCTTAGCAGCGGCCGACAATCCCAGAACTTGACCGTTAGCCACCTAAGGCTCTTGTATGATGGCCAGGTCAATGTTGTCCTCTGCAAAGCAAACTTCCACCACGGCAGAAGCAGCTGCTGCATGGTGGAGATTTACCTGGATCATAGGTATTTCCACTGTGTTGCTTCAACAATGTATAGAGAATAAACAGCTGACGTACCGTTAATACCTGCCAGTATCGATAAAGAAGTTCAGTTGGATGTCTATAAGAGAAGAACCCGCAAACTTTTAGAATGGCCCTTTGTGATATTTCTACGCGCTTCATAATTGTTTTAGAAGCACCGCCCCAGGAGGTGATGCAATAAGTAAGAAGGCTTTGCGCTAGGGCATAGTAGATACGTGTTAAAGCTGTTTTATCTAGTACATGGCGTACATTTTTGAATATGTATATTAATTTAGATAGTCTATTGGATAATACTTCGATATGCTTTTTAAAAGAAAGGTTGGAATCTATTATTACACCAAGATACTTAATGTTATGGACTAATTCTATTTTGTTACATTTACATGATTTAATATTAATATTTGAGAGACATTTGTGTTAGATCAGAGGTTTATTGATAATATGATCAAGGCGTTCTTTACGTATTGTGAAAGCAATGTATTTGGTTTTTTCAGAATTCAAGGTAAGAAAATTAGTTTGCAGCCATTCATTTATCAAATTAAGTCCCATATGCTCAGCATCCTGAACAGCTTCCCAGGAATTTGTAGAAAAAAGAAGGCATGTGTCATCAGCATATGATATTATATGTCCATAAGGAGGCTGAATAGAAGTGAGATCGTTTATATAGACGAGAAATAATGTGGGACCTAGAATGCTGCCTTGGGGCACACCGTAGGAAATTAATGCCTCATGACTAATGTAATCTCCGATTTTAGTACATTGTGTTCTATTACAGAGATAATCTTTAAATAGAACAAGTTGCTTTCCTCTAATACCACATAATTCCAACTTTTCTATTAGAATGCAGGTAGAAACAGTGTCAAACGCCTTGGCGAGATCCAAAAAAATTCCAATGACTTTGTTATTTTTGTCCAAATTTTTAACTACGTAATCTCATAGGATTTGAATTGCGAATTCCTACATGCGCGAAGCCAACTACGGCACTGAAACTGAGCTTCTTCTCTCCCGTTGCCTGCTTCATAGCTTTCCTGATCTGGTCTTTGAGTACTCCTCCTCAGACCGACTGCATTTTCTCGCCTTCGGATCTGGGGGAGGGTTAAATTAGTAAGTTAGAAATGATGTGCCTTATGTGCAATTTTAAAGTTAAGCGTCGAAATGTGGAACCAACGGCAATAGGACGGATACCGTTATTCCTTTTTTTTGGAATCACATAATCTTGCCCCATATAAGAATGGCATGATATTTGGATTAACATTACCAGAAAGCATAAAATTACATAATTTTGTAATATCATTAAGAAGAGTGTCACCGGCAGATGCGCTTACAAGATCTTTAAGATATTGAGACGTAATTCCGCCAATGTCGCCAGCAGATCCATTCGATAACAACATGATTTGTTTTGAATTTTAAAAAAGGAATCATCAATCAGAAATTTGTAAAAGTTGCATAAAATTCTTAGGAGGCAGCGGTAAATTTTGAGAAGGATTGACCGACGGATGCTTCTGACGAAGGCATTCAAGTATTTTGACATTACGAGAAGCCAGGAAATATTAGCAGAATTATATCAAAAGAAGCCATGAATTAAAATAAGAAAAGATGAGTAGGCTGAAATTTCGTCTTAACGTTAGAAATTATGTACCTGCAAGCTAATTCTAAAGTTAAGCGTCGAAGTGTGGAAAAAACGGCTTAGGATGAATATCCTTTTTTTTTTTTGAAGGTACATAATCTTGCCCCATATAAGAATTCAAAGAATGGATTTTATAATATCATTTAGAAATACTTCGCCGGCGTCACCGGCAGAAGCGCTTACAAGATCTTTAAGATGTTGAGACGTAATTCCGTCAATGTCGCCAGCAGAGCCACTCGAATATGACATAATTTCTTCTAAAGGGTCTTTTTCAGAAATTTGTAAAGATTGCATAGAAGTCTATATATTACTACTATATTGACTCGAATTGTAGCTGTTTCACATCATGTATGTGATCTGAGATAAGTTTTCACCATGAAAATTTTGCTGATTTAAATTTACGTTAATGTTATGTGAAGAAAAACTCTTTGTCAATAACATAATATTATATATCAATAACATTTGCGGAAATGTTATGTGCAAAAAGAATAAAAAAACATCAGTAATAATGTACAGTTTATAAAACAATCAGTCTTCCAGAAAATAAAACTACATAACTATACTTATTTATAGTTTTATTTTATCCCACATGCTCCTCGTTATGTCAATTCGAATAATTTTGATGCAACCTCTCAAATGTATAGGAAATCACCCGATAGGTTTGTGAGGCTTGAACAAAAGTTTCATATGGGCGCCCACTGTAACGCTAGTAGTATAGAATTTAGTTTGATGATAGAATATATTATTAGAATTATAGCATTCTTCCCTCGGTAGAGAGCACAGAATACATATACCCAGACGGGGTAGAGAGTAATTGTGTTCTGTGACCAGTATATATTCTAAATCCCTAGGTTGAGTTTTATTTATTTAATAATAAATTATAATTAATGTAATTACTTAAAATTCCTAGGTTTGAAAACTAGTTAATTAAATAAATCTATAATTATTTTACGGTAGCTATTAGTTACCTATTAGATCTTTGTTAGAGATTAGCTTTATATTTTGTACTAGTATACTCCTTACCCACCAACTATAATCTTCTTTATATATTAAAATTACGTGTCACATTGTTTGTCCACGATGAACTCCTAAACTATTAAACTGATTGCAATGAAATTTTGCACACTGTGTTTAATTTGGTCCAACTTGAGAGATAGTTTTTATCCCTATAGTGGGCCACTTCTTCAATACTTTTTATTACGAATTTATCAATTTTTATAGGACACAGGGTCGTCGGAGAGGGCAGAGGGGCAGAGCAACGTCTGCCTTGCCAGCTAGTAATATATATAATATATATTATAATAAGAAATTCTATATAGAGCACTCCTTAACTATTTGAAAAGGTTTTTTTTAATAACCGGCTTTACGGCTCTGGGTTCTAGCCCTTCTGAGCCTGAAGTTACAATATATTATAATAATTATCCTTCATAGTATACTGCTTCACAATATGTTGAACGCGTTACATTGTGCAGCCCTCGGGAGATTTTGACGGCAATTTGAGCCAGCAGACAGCTGACAATTGGCGTTGGTGTCTCAAGACGCCTAAGCAGACAGACATTTAATACACAAAATGACACCACTTTTATATATCAAAATCTACTTCAAACCATTATTTAAACAATAATACAGGAGCAGCAATCCGTCGCCGGTCAAGTTCCCGCCGAAACTCCTATTTGAAAAGAGAATTAATAATCACCAAAGAGTATGTTAACTTTGATCGTATAATTATAATTAATTTCAATTTGGTTGTTTATAGTACTACTGCTGTCTGATGTCTGTGGTTATTTGTTTTTCTTAGTGGTATCCCCGCCGGGTGTGTGTACGGTGTATAGATTGTGTATCTGTAATTTACTCTAATATTAATAATAAACAATGTGTTTTATAAATTATTTAATCGTATAATAGCTAAATATTATTAATCTCATTGCCGATGTAATAATTTAGGAGTTTTTATACACTTTTTATATTGATGTGAGGTTCTCGTGCTTTGTCTTCGTGTGTGACAATATACTCAAAATGGCGCATCAACTGGCACCGTCTGTAAATTGTTCGTTAGACGACATTGACCTCGGTGCACTAAAGGTATTTTTGAAATAGCTAATAAATGTAATTATTCTGTAATGTCAAAACACAGCCTTTTCATTTTCTAACAGCTCTTACAAAGGGCAATGATCTCGCAGGGCGTGAATCATACTAAAGGCTCTGTATTGAGGATTATAATTAGCTTTAGATTTTTTTCCCTATTTATCCATCCTTCGTATCTGATTCTAGGACCCAGCTGGTATCTTCGAACTTATTGAAGTTGTGGGAAATGGCACGTATGGCCAGGTGTACAAGGTAATTTAAGTACAAGCAAACAATTATTAAATATTCGCACTATCTACTTCATATTATCAATTCAAAGCAACAGTGATACTTTTTTATTTTTTCTATTTCATTATCAATTAAACTAACTGTAATTGTTTGACCTTTCAAGTAACTCACACAACTTCAGATAGACTATTAAAGTTAATGAAGAGAATTAACATCTATCAACTCACTCATGAAAGGAAAGTGACCCATTCTGTTGCTACCTATTAAAGTTCTTACAGTTTGGAATTTTGTCAGTTTTTTTTAATGGATGCAAAAATCTTTAAGTTTCATTTTAATGCAAAAACTAAAATTAAATACTTAAATTTAATTCTTTGTTTTTCAAATATTTTTAAAATGAAATAAACATTAAATTTATATTATTTTTAGGGTCGCCACACAAAGACAGGTCAACTTGCTGCTATCAAAGTTATGGATGTCACACAAGATGAAGAGGAAGAAATAAAACTTGAGATAAATGTCCTAAAAAAATATTCTAACCACCGTAACATTGCCACTTACTATGGAGCATTTATAAAAAAAACCCCATCTGGTAAAGATGATCAATTATGGTTGGTTATGGAGTATTGTGGTGCTGGTATGTATTATTTTTACTTATATTGTACATTTATTGAAAATGATATTACATCTTTGAATATAAATCATATTAGTTATATGAATAGAGCAACACAGGCCAATGGTAGATTGGAGGGGAGCTCTCATATGGAAGTTTTCCCCTCTGTCAAAGTATAAGTCCATGAGGTCCTATGCATACTATAAAACTAGTTGCAGCTGCACTGCTCACTTGATGATAGAGACACAAAATCAATGTCCTCCAAAAATGCCAAATTGTTCCGTTTTTTTGCTGTAATAAGATATCTGCCACAACCAATTTACTAAAAAATGGTATTACTTTTCATATATAAGTAGTGTTTAATCACATTATTGCTATTTACTTCCTTTCTGAGTTGTTTCGGATTTGTTTACCAACACAGGGCACTAGCCCTCATACAATATGCAGATTGATCAAGCAACTGATCCCAGTCTGTCTTCGGGTTTTTGCATTTAGCAAATGCTACTCTTATAATGTATCTATGTGTGTTTGAAATTGTTAATTTGTTTTAATTGTTGTGTGAGTTTCGAAGTGACAGATAATTCTTTTTGTGTGCATAGATTTCCCCCTGCAAACAATGGCAGACAGTTCTGTGTCGGGGAAAAAATATATTTTATGAGACTCCGGCTACTATGTGTACCCGCTGGGAGACCTAGAAAATAAACCTATAACATGATTAAACTAATAATTTGTATATATCATAGACTATTTTATATACACAAAATAAAATATTTGACCTTGGGTATAAAAATTATAACAAGTTAATATAATATATATAACATATAATATGATTGTATAATGAGCATGCAATTTGACATGTTTTACGTGGTAGTGCCATGCTGTAGCTATATTAGTAGTATAGTTGTAGCATGAATGAATCGGCTCGACCGGGGAAGGACCATGCTCTCACAGAATACCAACATAAAATAGCAGATTAACATTGTTGTGTTTCATATGGTGAGTAGAGAACTGGAGACCCTTTTTACTGGTAATGAGGTATTCTGTCTTAGTCTTCATGGCTGACAACGCATCTGCATTTTGATTCGTAATCGAGAATAGATGTAGATGTCTATAGACCACAGCAACCACTTACCATTAGGTGGACTGTTGCTCGTTTGTTACCCATATCATATTAAAAAAAATTGGTTGTCTGTAAAGTCGGTTTACTGACGATAGTTGAACATGACAATGTCATAAGAAAATGTTGCTATAAACAATTGACACCACATTCACTTTTCACTGCACTTCATACTTGACGAAAACATGTAAATGTATTATTGTATAGCAGCTGTCCATGCGGACACATCGCTCACTCAAGTAGGAGAGAGACAGATGTCGAATGCTGCCGAACGCGGAGGCCGATTGTGCCTCTTTGTCGCTCGTTTCGCGCTCTCGCTTGCACTTCAAGCCTTAAATGGAACGCCTCAGAGCGAGGTAACGCCGCATGAGTCATGTTTTTTCGTGCGTGTAGCCAGCTTCATCGAATTAGAAGACATAGTCACGTCAAAAAATCTTTGTTCAAATGGACCATTCCATTCATCCCAATCAAAAATAATTTAACTAATTTAATGAGAGCAGGTAGCATAGCCTTGTCAAGTCTACCGTAAAACCCAACCTGTCATGCTTCAAAGTGTGCAAAATTCTTTCAAAGTAAAAATGGTACATCCACATGACTAACAAACATAAAGAAGCACTATTGAATAATATTTTTTTTTTGACACTACCAACTAGTAACCACCCACCAACCAGTAGTACCATGTACATGTAATATAATTTTTAATGTATTTGTGATATTATCTTATAACTAGCGCGCCAGGCAGACGTTGTTCTGCCCTTTCCAACGACCTTTCCTATAAAAATCCTTAAATTTGCAATAAAAAATTTTGAGGTTCATTTAGCGGGATAAAAACTATCCTATCTCTCAAGTTGGACCAAAATGCACACAGTGTGCAAAATTTCATTGAAATTAGTTCAGTAGTTTAGGAGTCCATCGCAGACAAACAATGTGACATGTAATTTTTATATATAAAGATTAATTTATTTGTGAACATACATTGAGACTCTTTTGACTTAAATTCAAGAAATAATATTTTTCATTGATTTGTAGCATTTCTCTTCTTTTTGAGCTTTACTTTTCTTGTAACTTTACACGGTGAAAATAAAACACTTTCAAATCCCAACTTAAGAAGAATGAGCAAACAAATTTTGCAATTTTAGAAAGAGTCATAAGATCCTTAGATATAGTTGCAAAGAACTTTTGTCATATAGATACAGTTTATTGCATATTATGAAGTCTTGCATTAAAGTAAAACAGTACTGCTAAAAATTTGTTGATGACATGGGGGTTGGTTTTCTGCCAATTTCTTTATCAGTTATAATTAGCGATCTGTCCTGCTTTCGAACGGTTGATTTCTAGATCTGAACAACAACACTATTTACCGGGTCCATCTGTGAATCTTAACCATTCTCTAATCAACTTAATCACGGACACACACAAAATTTCATCAAAATCGGTCCAGCCATTTAGGAGTCTTTCATTTAGGAGTCCAGTCATATACACAAGGACAGAAGAATTATATAACATGCTTATATTATACATATAAACCTTCCTCTTGAATCATTCTGTCTATTGATGATGACTGTATCAAAATCTGTTGCATAGTTTAAAAGATCTAACATACAGATGGCTGGAAGCAACTTTATTTTATACTATGTGGGGACTGTTTACAATAGAAATCAGCTGTTATTGATGTGAGCAAGGCTCTGATCAATCACCATCCCTTTTTAGTGGGTAAGCTTCTTCTGTGAGGTACCCATTGTTTTTTACTTCTAAAAGGTTATGAAACAGTTCTTAATATCGGCAACAAAAGACATAATAATTTATTATATTTACATAATTACTACACATTAAATAAAAGTAATTTTATGGATTTTGCATTTTTCATTTAATATTAACTTAATCTTAATTTGTTTTGAAGTTCTTTACTACACCCATGTATGGTGCAGTAAAGAATAGGCATAGGCCACAGGTGTTCTGCATCTTTATGCCATAGTCATCCTAGGCTTTTTTTTATTTGTTCTGTGCATAACAATCTTACAGTATATTGACATCTTGCAGTAGTATGCTTATGTTAAGAAACTAATTTTGTTTATAGCAAGTATAAGATACACTCAATCATATATTTATCGAAATTAGAATGGTATTAATTTCAATACCTCGCAAATCATCTTTGATAGGGATTCTTATCAAGGATATGTGGTCTATGAAACCTGAAGTAAGGGCATACAGATCCTAATTATATTATTTTTATTACATTTCGCAGGTAAGCAGTTGAAATAACTGATATGAGCCAGAATGCTGGTTTCATATCTGCAGTTGTTCTAGTTTAGTTGTTTATTTAATGTCTTATTTATTTCATCGAGCTGGTGATGAAGCCCTCGCTAGTAAATCCTGTCACATTCATAGTCTTGCATCTTGTAGAGGAGGGATAATACATAATAGTTAAACTGACTTATTTTCCTTAGCTTATAATATCCTTTATAGAAGCTCTCCTCAAACGTAACCTATCTAAAGTAAAAAGTAAAAAATCTCCTAGCAGATGAGAAAATTATTCCGGATAACCAGAATGGCTTGCTACCACAGATGGACTGAGGAATTTGATAAATATAATCCTGTGGATATATTCTACCTGGACTTTGAACGGGCTTTGACAAGGTACCACACAGATGTCTTTTGATTAAATTGGAACATCTGGGTATCTGAAGAAATCTTCTGAAATGGATCAAAAATTATCTGAGTGAAAGAACCTTTCAAGTAAGAGTTGGAAATGTATATTCGCAACCTAAAGACGTCTTCAGTGGGATGCCACAAGGATCTGTACTCACACCTACCCTCTTTGGCATTTTTTTTGCTGATCTGAGTTCTATAATAATTCTGAGTGCAGAAGACTGTTTCTTTGCTGATGATGTGAAATACTTCGGAAATCCTATATTGAACCAGGGAACCTTAAGAAAAGACTTAAAGCGTGGAAGAGTACAGGAGTGGACAAAAAATTGGGTTATAAAACTTAATCCTTGTGAGTGCACAGTTTTGCATCTAGGTTGAAACAATCCCAGAGAAATGTATAACATTGGAAATTCAAAAGTACAGCCAGTTAACTCGCAGAAGGATTTAGGTGTCTTAATATCATCCGACCTCAAGTGGGCTGACTATATCCATAGTATTGTCCAAAAGGCGAACAGCATTTTGTATGCAATGCAATGCATTGTTGATCGTTTCAGCATCTGACTCCAGATACATTGCTCAAGGTTTATAAAATGTATGTTCAACTGCTGATACAGTACGGATTTCAAATTTGGAACCCCTATTTTCTTAAGGATATAGATTTGCTGGAGAGTGTACAAAGAAAAGCCACAAAGATTCCATTATGCCTTCGCAAAATGCCATATGAAGAGAGATTAAAAATATTGAATCTAACAACGCTGAAATCTCGCCGTACCAGAGGAGACCTTATTGAGACCTTTCGTCTTTTATAACACAAATTTTACAGATTTAAGGATTTGTTGGCTGCATAGTTGCAGTGTAAGAAAATTCACTCGCCCATATCATCCAAATAAAACAGAATGAGGAGCATCACTTTTCTGATAACAACTGAAAATAATAAAAAACTTCGGTTGCCAACCTGCTTACCATGCATGGTAATTATGACGAAAAAAGATCGCGGTACTCTGTGGACTGTTATTTTTTATATTCAATATGCTTCACAATAATTCTTAGTGTAGAAAACTGCATAAATGTTGAAATATTAAAAAATTACTTGAATACAGAATTCATAATCCGGAAGTAGGTTATCAAAATTTCAAACATCCAGTAATGACAATAGATAAATAACACAACCGACAACATTCGTATCGGTTTTTTTTTTAATTTGACAACTAAAAAACTTATTGCATTCACGTATCGCATTGCAAATTCAAAAAAGTCT